CATTATCTTTTGTACATGGAGGTCACAATCCTTCTTACTCATTAGTTGTCAAATTGGATGGCTTGGAGTGAGTCATGAAGTATGAGAATTTTTTTTTTTTGGAACTTTGTGTTTATTCAATGACACTTTTATAACTACCCTTTTTGAAATTTAAGGGACAAGAATGATTGTAGCCTCCATGTACAAAAGATAAATGGTCTCTTTGTAGACATTCCCTATATATATATATATATATAAACACTTCTATTTGAATATTGCCCCTTTCTTTTAAATGCATTGTCTTGCCATAGGGATTGTTTGAGAATAAGATAAATCAGTAGGATAGGATAGTGATAATCCGCTGATAATTGATTTTACATTGCATCTAATGCTATGTATTACTGGTGCAGCCCTTGGTCATACCATAATGCAGGATCGTGGCCCACTCTATTGTGGCAGGTGTGTGAGAGTTTTTTCTCACTATTTCTAAACCTTATTTATGGAGCTGGAAGTTTTTGTCAATCCTATGGTTTCTGTGCTTACTTGTTTGCTTTCCTCATATACAGTTCACTGCGGCTTGTATCAAGATGGGTAGACCTGATATGGCTAAAAGAGCACTTGCAGTGGCTGAGAAGAGGCTTTCTAAAGACCTGTGGCCTGAGTACTATGACACTCGGTCGGCTAGGTTTATTGGGAAGCAGGCTCGATTGTATCAGACGTGGACCATAGCTGGATTCCTTACTGCTAAGATGCTTCTTGATAATCCTGAATTGGCATGCATGTTGACATGTGAGGAGGACCTCGAGCTTTTAGAAGGTTGCTCATGCCCCTTGAGTGCAAGCCCAAGGACAAAGTGCTCAAGAAATGCTGCCAGATCACAGGTTCTTGTATAGTGAACCAAGCTTACTTACGTATGTTGACATTTCACAGTGAAAAAATAGAAACATTGAAAGTTGTAGTTGCATGTTTAAATAATGCATGTGAAGGGTTTCTTTGGTGCAAGCGAGAGACCCATTATATTAATAAGTTGATGGGGGATTTGTATGTGGGGGTGGTCTGCATGCACCTGGCGACTGACAAGATTCTTTTGGTCATTTCCTCAACACTGATTTCATTTGTAAGTTAGGAGTTCATTGACTATATCCTGACATAATGCGAAGGATAGAAATTGCAAATGGAAAGACATCTTTAGAAATGATGTATGCCACTGTAGAACTGATTCATAACAATATGTATATTCAGTTGCCTTCTTGTATTTTAATTGTTGTCAATGGCATGTTAGCAGTTGTTTTCCCCATATATTCTGCACTTAAAGAGGGTCCCTATGGTTTATGGACAAGGGCAATCCAAGTCTTTGTAACCCTGGAATAACAGCTACTCTATTTATGGAAACACGGTTTTCTACGAGTCCTAGGACTCGTATGTAGAAATGAATCTTCTTAAAATTTCTTTTTGAGATGGATTGTGGACCTAAACATTTAGGAATATAATCCTAAACATGGAGATCATTAATGCCAAAAGATATTCTATTTCCACGGCAGTGGAATGTTCATTTACTTCCTGGGGTAAAACCCCACTTAGAATTGATTTTAGGGCCCAAAATTTTAGGGATGTAACCTCTTCAACCCCCAGTCTAGCCTTAATAAAAAAAAATATTCCTAATTGTACCATACCCTCTATGCGCTTGAAAAAGAATAATGTCTCCAGATTGAATATAAACTATCCAATTTTCAGATAGTGAGCATTTAAGTGTTAGAAAATTGAAATTTCAGGAAAACCCCACTATTTTGCCTCCACAGTTTGAAGAAAGCGGTGACTTATTTGCCTCTTTTATAAACCAGGCTCATCATGGTGCTTTTCATTAACAAAATGTGGATGAGACTTAAGCCAATGGGTTTAATTGGGAAGACCGATCTAAGGGGAATCATGCCCAGCTATTCTCTGAAAGATAGGCATCAGAAGCGAAGTAGTAGACATGGTGCTCTTAAGGGACCTCCCAATTTTAATTTCTTGAGGGGTCCAGTCTTCAGACCAAGACTTAGAGAGGCATAGGAGAGTTGGCAACGATGGCTTTTGAGGGTTCAATTTTTGCAGTTTCACGACTTTTACATGCTTTTGGGCAGTGGCATATTTTTGTTTAGCAATTGAAAATATGCAGCTGTTAGCCTGCCCTTGTGGGACATCACACAACATATTACTCCATTAATGTGGTTCGAATGTTATGGCAAGCATGCCTCAGTTGGCCATTTGCCATCATTGAAATGGTGTTGTTCAAGGGTATGAACTCCCGAAAATGTATGATATTTCCTTACTCGAGATGGAACAACATTTCATCCTCAAGTTGTCCAACAAAATGGCTTATTGGTGTTGAGATTCATTCAAAATATAGAATTTATTTTCCTCGTAGCATCAATCATCCAAATCTAGTCAAAGCTTCTTACTGACATTGCAATCCTTTATTGTTCAGGAAAGTAAAAAGGCAGAAGCTTGAATGTTTTTGAGGGTCCAGGGATTCGAATATATCATTTTAAATATTAATATCTAAACAAATCATACTTCCAATCTTTATCTCTAAACCCATTCAATGCATATCTCTCTCTCACTAAATCAAACCAATTGAAAGTTGGCATCTCAAAAAGTAGAATTCTCATCTCATATATTAAAGTTTTAATTTTTTCTCAAATATATCATTTTAAATATTAATATTCTTCGAAATTAGAACAAAATAAACCATGACATGTTAAATAGTTCCAATCTTGGGTATTTTTATCGAAAAAGTTCTTATAGAGCCAAGGCTCCAAAAAATCAAATTAGAGCCTACATCAAAAATTTCATTAGAAGAGGTTGTTTTAATGCCCAAATATTTTCAAATTGATTATCTCGTGGAATTGAGAAAAAAATGAATTTCAAGTTTTGGAAATAGTGCATCTTGTAACACATTTTTGGACTGTCAATTTTAAATATTTTAAAGTTTTCATAGACCTGCTCGATCTACACTATTTTGGAAGTTTTAAATTTTATAATTAAAGAAAGATTTCCAATATTGAAGCCGCATTTGTGGACACTATTTGAAGGTGCGCTCTACATTGATTGATTAGAGCCTCGGCTCTGTACAAACTGCACCCTATTTTTATATAGGGATTGTATGACACCGTTTACCTTTGTATAGATACTTTAAAGCCATTTAACAATAATTTTATGTCCTTACTTAATATTGCTAGAGTAATATTTGACAAATTTTTGCCTAAACTTTAAATCCAATGACAATTCCTAACACAACATATCATGGATTTATTGGGACAACAACAACGATACTAAACACAAGAACTACAATAGTGACTAACAAGAATTGCAAACCAAGGTATAGGATTATTGTCTGAAGAAAGAAAACAAAAAAGACTACCGTATAGGATTGCAGTTAACTAGAACAAAACATAAAGACTCAAATATATAAAATTGCGGTCCATCCAAAATGCTATGTTGTATATATCAATATAATAAGAAATAAAAAATAAAAAAATAAAATCAATCAAACTTTTCTATATATAAAAAAAGCAACAAAATGCTTAAGTACATCCAAAAATTTGAATCTCAGGCTAAATTTCTAGCTGCTTAAATATTTAGTGCCACTGAATCTCTCTCTTGCTCTTTATAGTGACACTCATGGTTTAGAGAAAAAAAGATTTTTCGTTGGTCACTCGTCTTTCAACTCTACCTATTATTTTGAAATATATGATCGTTTTGATATCTTATTTTTTAGGGAATATATTGCTTCTATTTTTTTCTTACACTTGTTTAATTTACTCCTATGGTATATATTTATCTCTAAACCAAAATTCAATAATTCTAAGTTAATGAAGAATAAAGTCATAGAGCAGAAGTTTTTTTGAAAAAAAGATAAAATACATATTTATATCGGTTCCATTAAAAAAATACGATTTTTTAAAGATCTTTTAAAAAAACTAGGAGTTCTTAACTGATTTCAAAAAATCAATATTTTTTGAAAAAAATTGTGTTTGAAATGGAAACTGACTACGCTAACTATGCTTGAGACATCCCACTGGCCCCGCGGGGGATATGTTTGAGTTCAAAATTTGGACCCAACACGTGTTAACTCCCAGTCCACAGTTAGATCGGGTTGGTTGAAGTCCATCCTAGTCCTAATCGGGTCAAGTCGGGCTATAATTATTCACTTTTTATATTTTGACCAACACCGGACCTGATCTGGCAGGTCAGGTCTAGGTTTGACATGGATCCAAAATGTCCAAGTCAAGTTCAGGTCCACCTATGCACCTTGTCGAGTTGGGTCTGGGTTGGGCCCCACCTTGACCCCTATTTACGCCCCTACAATACCTACAATAATAAAGCACCTGAGAATGACCAGAAAGATGGGATTGGGCCTTTTGAAACTGTAGCCTAAGGTTCATATCCCGGCTTGCAGACCCAAAATTAATAAAATAATTACAAAGAACTTGAAATAAAAAATAAAAATGAACCATGCATAAATGACCATGACAAGTGTGTCTAGCCAGGCTACTTTTAAGTGTGACATGGATGACATATTATCTCTAATGAGGAGGCTTTGTGTTTGTTTTGGAGTAGTCGTAATATTTCTTTGTTTGCAAGTCTCTGAATGTATCACTCATTCAATACACACTAATGCCTTTATCTAGTTGTCTCAATGTTGGTTTCTTCTGGATGTTGGGACACACATTGTGGCCTACCTAGATTGTCATTTCTTCGGAAACTTTAATACTTGAATCACCAAATGGAAAGCAAAGTTGAATATTGAACTTTCTTTAAGTAAGACCACATACATGACTAAAGACCCACATGCCATGCCGTCCCGGCCGATTTTTGATCCAGATCGGTGATTCTTGATCAAGACAGGTTGGTTTTAAGATATTGTAATAAATTATATAGCATTTTTAACCAAGATTTATTCTTTTGTTAAACATCTTGAAGAAATAATAACTTTACAACAAATGTGACTGGTGCATTTTTTTTAAAAACAAATATATGACGGATTTATATCACCACTCTTTTCAAATATAGTAAAGCAATATATTGTTGAAGCTAACATGAACCTCAACATTGCCAAAATTCTACCATGTCATTGGTTCACATAGCGCTCGGGACCGAGTCGACTCGTATCGGTAGCTATGTATGGTATTTTAATCTTCATTTGATCCTTGTCCAAAGTAAAGCAGCACATAGAAAAAACAAGGATGAATTCTATGTTTGGGGGCTTTTGTAGGCAACAATAATGATGCTGAACAAGAAGCAAAACACAATCATCTATGGAGGAATTCATATTGCCAAATCTTTACACATCATCATTTATGGGTTGAGGGAGACAGCCCATTACCATGAAATTCATTTGCTGCCTTAAATTGCAAACCTCAGGTTGGAAATATAGGAGCATGAAAGATTCTATGCTCCCTCAACAACAATTCCTCCACTAAGAGTACATCTAGACCCTCAAATTCTGGGATATGTAAACTCTTCAACTTAGTGACCACTTTAAAAATAAATAATGTCATAAGACATATCACAGACCATCCAATCATAGTGTCTAAGAACTCAAAATTTATTTATTTACTTTTTATTTTTTTGAAAATAAGGCGATTCTCTAGTGGACCCAAAATTTCAGATCGAAAAATCCTCTGAAGTAGCTTCTTTTGCTAAAAGTGCAGAGCATTATCTAGAGAATACTATACATGCCATTGATGCAATATTTTACTTACTTCGAAGGTTCCAACTTTTGCCGATATAAAAATAAGGGAATGAGTGGGTGTTTCCTCTTCTAAGGAAAATATTGTACCATTTCCCCAACTGTTCTCGGCGGCTTTATATGTAAACATGTATTAAAAGAAAAGTGGGAAAATATATAATGGGTCATTTTAATATTGGGAAAACTTTCCATGTGACCCCACCATCATATATATAATATATGTGACCCCTTATCTTAGTAATCAGATCTGAGTAGATGGTTGAGATGGCTTGAGTCACAATGTCACATGCGGGTTCTTAACTGTCAGATCTTGATCCAATAGCTGAGAGTTTTTTATTTTTTATTTTTATTCTATAAAAAATTTTGAAGCATGCATAGATCTGAAAAGGAAGCATATGATAAAAATAGTGTAAAATATTTACAGTAATAAAAAATTACCCCTAAAAATTTCAAGGGCATATAGGTCATTTATTTTCATAGGCAATATTTTTTTTATTTTTTTTTCCAGGTTTGCCTAATTTTATAATGGGTTTCCCAAAATTTAATAAAAAAAGGTTATGTAGAAAAAAAAAATGAAAAATAAAATAATGTTTTGGCATGTACAATCGTAGCTGAGAAATGGGATCACATGTAGCTTTCTTATTTACATTTGGTATATGGAGATCGCAATTAATCTGGATCACTAAATGTGAAATTGGGCATGTGCATTTATTACATTGACTAAGCAGAAATAAAAAAAAGCTTTTGCAAACTTTGTGATGCAAATTTCACGTGGGATAGTTATATAGATAATTGCGACCTCCTTGTAACTACGATAACTGATCTCATATAGTGCACAATCCTAAAAATTGAATCGAATCCTCTGTTGTCGTTTTGAACGACGAAACTCAATTATTTCCTTGGAGGGGGTAAGGGCGTCCTCACTCATATGAGAGCAATCATTTGGCGCATCACTACGTACATTGAGATACATGTTCATATATTAATACAGTGGGATGCGACATATCAAAATCCGGGTTCATCTAGCCAAAAATGTATATATGATAAATAAATAATTTTTATAAACATTTAGTAGAAGGACATCCCTTTCTATTGGGGAGCTTTGTCCCCCAAACCTACCCCACTTTAAAAATTTAAACAAGGTCATATTCAAATACAGATCCCTTTCTCGAAATTAAATTTAGAGATGAATCTCAATTCATTCTATAAGTATTTCTGCATTAGAACCATAATTTGCAACTTAAAATTATATTTTTGATCTGATGATTCGTAACAAATTAAAGTCAATGGTCTAAAAGTATCTAGCACTGTTTTAAAACTCGATCGGTCACCCACCAAACCGATCTGGATTGCCGATCTCGACCGGGTCAGACCGATTCTCCATTATGAGAATTGGTCTCAAAAGAATGTAAAGGATAAGTTTGAATTTTAGAAAAAACGAAAAATTGTAATGTTTAGGAATTAGGCTACACGGAGGATCCGTATCGTGCGGCTCCCAAAGAGACTAGCCCAAACATAACTGTGCGAGTCCAACCTGGATAGATTCTCACTTTGGACTGTGAACCAGACCGGTCCCATCAATTCTTGATCCAGATCATCGATCCCGATCGTCAGTTTCTAAAATTGAAAATCAAATTATGTTTTTGGCTCGTTACGATGGTGGTCGATTTTATGTGGGAAATTATAAAATCTCTCTCATTTCGGATGGAGGGCGCATTTGAATTGGTGAGTCCAGCCCGTTAAAAAAACGTCGAAATAGATGCCCTGTCCGTCCTTGTATATTACAGTAAAAACATGTTGAGATTTGAAATCTGGATGTGAACTCGTCTTTCTCTTGGGAAGATGGAAAATGATTGATGGTCAGCCCCACGCGTGCCCAAAAGGTTGGTCCTTACCCTGTACTTATCCAACATTAATGGTTAAGTAACAAGCAAAACATTATTAATGCAAATCCCCCACCCATTTCCAATAGTGTTTCAATTAAGAAAACAAAAGGCATAATTAATAATCCCTCATTTGTTTACAAGGAGCAGTCTGTTTTCAACGTTAGTTCATGGGAATGCGCCTTCAAACCCGCAAATGACAGGGACTTTTCCGCGTGTTTTGCCCCGCCATTTCTATGCTTTGCTTGTCTGTGTATGCCAAACCCTAACCCTAATTTTCTCTCTCTATATCTACCCTGATGTCTTTCTCTCTCTAAACCCGTGATGTAGGAGAATATATGCGTACCTCTTTGAGTTTTAGTCAATGTCCCATATCTTCATGGGGGAGACAAGAATCTAGTGCTTCTTTTGGCTGAAAAAAATTGTTTGTAGTGAACTCTCTATCTTCATTGATGTGCTTTGTAACTTTGTCAACCTCATGTTGTTGATGGAAATTTCAATGATGACCTAAAAAAAAATCTACTTCACTGCTAATTATTAAATTTTAAAATAAAAAAATGCGAGCCGATCAACAAACATATGAAAATCTTGATTGAGAATGGATCGTATTAGATAATGTATTGTATTGCTTAGTTTTTCACATTTGTACGTATCGAGGTTGATTAACATTAAAACAACCTTTTCCCGATGGATTTTTGAAAGGTACCATTTTTATTTTTCTGATTGCAACCTTATATAAACATTTTCTTTCAAAGTTAAACCAGTAGTCCCAATGTCTCTATATGCAAATTGTCTCTCTCTCTCTCTCTCTCTGAGCGTGCACACATCATGTCTTGAATCTTAGTGGCATGTATCTATTTGGAGTTTTTCAACTCTCATGTTGCATCAAGACTGCAGTTTTTTATCCTTTTTCCTCTGATGACTCTATCAGAGCATATAACAGTTTTAGTTCTCTGAAAGAGTGGCCGGGATAAATTTGGACTTTGTAGAGGGGTATGGTGAAGGTGTCTTGCAATGCACGTGTGGCTTCTAATGCTTTTACTGCAAAGGGCTTAGACATGAAGATATTCGGTTGTACCTTAACTGATTGGACCTTCGTGTTAGGTGTACCTTAACTATACTTTGTTCCTATGAATGGAAAAGGCACTGAGGAAATTAAAAGAAAAAAAGAGTTAGAGATCCTCCTTTTGGAGCATTTCCTACATTCACTGCCTCTGCTAAAACTTAATCTAGGACGATTTTCAGACTCCCAAATTTTGAAGATGTCAGCCGGTTGAGTGACCACCCTATACGGTAAAATGAACACATACTATGTGCTTGAAATAAATAACATACTCAGATTGAACGGAGACCATCCAATTTTTTGCAAAAGAAAAATAAATCGAGAATTTTAAAACTCAATCCTAGGTGGAGTTCAAAATTTCCAAAAAAAAAACTCTTTCGCTTGAGGGAGTAAGTGCATTACATGCTCCCGCAGGACTTTCTCCCTCTTGCGAGAGTCGCATATGCCCTCACCCAGGAAATATGAAATAAGTTTACTTTGGCATTAAAATGGCAAATGTCTATTCAAATTTGATAAATTGAAATTAGATTGATTCCAATAGGTCCGAGTTCCTATGGAATATTCCAGTCAACGAATGTACAGTTTTACCATTAGTAGATACCTTAAATTTAATATTGCTCCTTACCTGATTAATAGCCATAAATCCAGCATAAGTACAGGATAAGGGAACAAGCAAGCCATATTCATAATCATAATAATAATTATAATAATGACGATGATGAAGGGTTAGTTCATCCATTTCTAAGTGTTTTTTATTATGCTTGGGGGGGACCATACCAACTCAACATTTCATTATTGTTATTACTATTTATTAAATTGTATTCAGACTTTTCTACAAATCCACCAATGCTGTTGGTAGTGTTGGCGATCAAATTAATTGCAAATCCATTGAGGTCCAAGAGTTCTGTATTATTGTGAAGTTTTCTCTAATCTCTTATAATTTGTGGTCTAAAACAAGTCTGAATATATTTATTTTATACATATCTCTTTTCTGTTTTTAAATTTTTCCAAATTACCCTGTTTGGAACTCTGAGTTCCTAATTGGGTCTTTTTTATTTTATCGAGAAGTTCCAAACCAACTTATTTGTAAATAAGTTTGTTTAGAAACTGAAGTTCCAAGCTGATCTCTCCAGAAAAAATAAAAAAATAAAAAATAAAAATTTATGGAATTTGGAGTATTCAAAAAGGCATTTTGAAAAATGAATTTTTTTTGACATAAGCATAAAATATAAAATATAAATACATTTTAAATCCCATTAATCATAAGAGAGATCATAAAAAAAATCTTATTATTATTATTATTTCTTGGTCTTACCTGATTTAACAAGTCAAGACGCCAAGTCCAAGCCATGCAATCACGCAAGCAAGAAAATTGCAAGGTGTACTTGACCACGCCACTATAATATTTCCAAATTGGGACCATGGAAAATAAAATAAACCAAAATGCATTAAAATAAATAAAAAAACGCATAATTAAGAGAGAAAGAATCTTCTCCCACTATTTATAAGCACCTCTCAACCCCCTTCCTCCAACTCCCCATTCATTTTTCAAAAGTCACAAAACCTTCCTAACTTCACAACCACCATGGTGGTTTTATCAGAGAAGAGCCATCCCTCTCTCTCAAACGTGCCTACGATCGATCTCTCATGTGGAAAGAGAGGGGCAGTTTCAGAATTATTGGTTAAGGCATGTGAGAGCCATGGGTTCTTCATGGTCAGGAACCATGGAGTCTCTCAAGATTTGGTGAAGAAGATGGAGATGGAGGCTTTCCGATTCTTCGCATTGCCGGAGTCTGAGAAGGAGAAGGTTGGTCCGGCGAATCCCCTTGGCTATGGTTGTCGAAAAATCGGATTGAATGGCGATGTGGGGCGTGTCGAGTACCTTCTTCTCCATACGCGTGCCTCCTACCCGATTCGATTAAGGTAAGCTCCTTAACGGGTCTTGTGCATGGAGGGTATTTTGGTCATTTTAGTGAGTTGTTAAACCGAAGGAAATGATTTGGCGAGCCCGGCTCATGTGGGGCGGGTCGTGAGCATAAGGGGTATTTTTGTCATTTATGAATGGGAGCTTGTGAGTGATGGTTAGAAAAGAGGAGGGGAGAGTGTTCAGCTGAGGGAGCTTTGGCATGTTTATCACTTTTCTTGGGAGAAATGTGTTTTGGTGTTGAGTTGAGGGATATTTGAGTCATTTTAATGTATGTTTTGCTTAGTAGGAGATGGGTTTTGTAAGGAAAGGTTGGTTGGTTAGTTAGTTTGCTAAAGAGAATGCTGGGATCTTGCCTTTTGTTGAAGTGATAGGCATTTCGCCCATGGATGTGATACTTTGTCTATTTAGAAAGCGTGAGTCTAGAGATGATTATATTTAATTTTTCTGAAAGTGTCTCAGGAATTTTTAAGAAAGGTTTTTTTTTCATTTTTGTTTTTTTTTTAGGTGAGTAAGTGGGGAGAGGGCCTCTACCTTTGGTAGGAATTGAGCTTAAGACGTAACGTTAAATAAGTATTTCTGAATATAAATGCAAGAGCATATATGACACGCTCACGAATATTTTTGTGAGAGTATTTTCAAATGAAATAACTCCCCATGTGACTAGGTATGGGAGATTTTCACCGGTTGGTCCCTATTCATTTTTTCACATCAATTGACAACCAAACCAATTGATGTGAAAAAAACTCCTATGTCTAATCACATAGGTACTTTTTTCCGTGTGAAAATATTTTCGTGTGTACCAAATGTGCCCGAAACTTCGATCTACATGGAGAAGTACAGGTAATATTCGTCAAAGAATGCAACAACTTCATCCCTTTGTATTTTTGGTTTTTTATATACTTCTTACTTCTTTCCTGTGAAGCAATTTTTAAAAACAGGGCTCGGCCTCAAAACTTGGCAGGTCCCAAATCTGAGTCATTAGTACAAACTGGTCAGAGTTTGTAAAAGACTCGACCAAGCCTGTACGAGTGATAATACTAAAATATAGGAACCCAATGAGTTTGGTCGGTTCTCGTTTGGACTCAGGACCTTGCCGGGTTAAGCAACTCGGGCGAGACCATGTAGACTCGTTCGAGTTTTAGAACAATACTTCGATGCTTTTGCCAAATTTTTTTTATCTATTTTAAAAACTATAGAAGCAATAGTTCATCGCACATATCTTGGGAAATTCGACCTTGATATAGTTAAGGTATTGGAAAGCTAGGCTCATTGGTTGTTAGATGAACCAGGCTCATCAGAACCGTCATCTACCTTGGTGGGAATGATCTCGACCATTGGAAGACCATTTTAATGGTCTGGATGAGCCTGGGTCTTTGGATCAATCCTCTCACAAAATTGAAATTGAAGGGAAATAAAACAACTGTATGTGAACATGAGTGACACCTATTTCGGTTTTTATGGATGCAAGGTAAATTGGTCCATTCCAAACATCCCTTTAGCTCTCTATTATTGGTTACACGTCCCTTGTTATCAAATTCTTTGAAAGTGATCATCTATTTATAAACTCAATCTTGGAAAGGTTGGCGGATTTGTTTAAATTTCATTTAAGTTTCGGTCGAAATATCGTTTTCACTGTCAAATCAAATGAATGAGTGATATCACATAAATGTTAATCTAGGATAAGATCTCTCACCCAAGAATTAACAGCAAAATAAAATAAAACGAAAAAACAAGAAAAAGAGATTGGACAAGATCTCTCTCCCAATTTTTAACAGAAAAATAAAATAAAAAAGAAAAAGAGATTGAAAAAGTCTCCCTCTTGAAAAAAAGGCTTATAATATCCCTCAAATTTTTTTTAAAGAGGCCAAATCGTCCTTCTTAAAACTTTTAAAAAAATTCAATAATTTTGTTAGATCATCACTAAAATATAATTTAGAAATATGTTTCTACATGAGTTTCGTGTTTTTTTATGAGGATTTGTGAACGTTTCTTATTATATGCACTAATTTTTTATTTTTCCCCTTTTTGATTTTTCTAAAATATTTCAAAGATAAATCAGTTTTTTCAATAATCCACCTGCATATATTTTTCAATTTTTATAGACTTCTAATGATTTATATAACATATTCTGGCTTTTAATGATTTTTAGTTATTTTTCACAATTTTTTACATTTTCTTTGTGGATTTTTGGACCTCTGCCGGGTTCGTGAAAAATTCAGTCGAGTCCACCCTGACTTGGCTGATTACTCAGCTCGGGCCATAGCCTAATCCGAGGCCTAAACCGAGTTTCAAAACATTAATTTTCAATAAAAAAATGATATATCAAAACACTATTAACACGTGGTTTTTACGCAGTCATGCAGCCAAGGAGTACATTACTGCAGTAAGAGACCTAGCATGTCAAATTTTGGACCTCATAGAAGAGGGATTGGGACTATGTGATACTAAACTTCTCAGCAGTTTGCTACGAGACTGTGAAAGTGACTCAGTCTTTAGGCTCAATCACTACCCACCTTGTCGAGATCTAAGCGCCCCCTCACCTCGATATGCAATCGGATTCGGCGAGCATTCGGACCCTCAAATCCTTACCATCCTTCATTCAAATGAAACGCCAGGGTTGCAAATTTCTCTACAAGATGAGAACTGGATCACCATCCCTCCTGACCCGACCTCCTTTTGTGTTAATGTTGGGGATGCTTTGCAGGTGCTCTTCAATTACTTGTTTCTCGGTTACTCATACTACAGTGTTTCCATTGCCTGGTAGGAACCAAGATCCATATGATCATGGTACTATAGCATGGTGGAAAGGGTCGTCACCGTCAGCCCAAAGGTTGGATGGTGATGGAGGGCGTGTGGGACCTACATTGGAAATGATCTCATGTTTGGTGGGTCTCACCTTTTTCCTCCATCACCATTCAACCCATTGATGGGATAGCGGTGACACTAATGATTGTACTGTTACCAAGGATTATAATTATATTATTATAGGAAATGATCTTGTCAGACCTTCCCCCACTTATGTGTGTAGGACCTCAAAAGATCACCATTAAATTTGGTACAAATTTTTTAAAAAATCAAATCCCTCACCTATGTGATAACTTTTCTAGAGATATGTACCAAATTTAAAGGTGATTTTTAAGAGTCCTACACACATGGGTGTGGGAGGGTCTCATAAGATCATTACTCTATTATTATTATGCTGAAACTGAAATTGAACTTTTATTATAGCCATATAAGACCTTCAGTAACCCCTTTTATCTCTTTCTAATATCTCTCTAATCCACAGGTTTTGACTAATGGGAGATTCAAAAGTGTAAGGCATAGAGCCTTGGCTAATGGGTTCAAGCCCAGGCTGTCCATGGTCTACTTTGGTGCACCTCCCCTACATTCATATCTCTCTCCTTTACCCCAATTGGTTAATGAAGAACATCCAAGCTTATATAGGCTTTTTACTTGGTGTGAGTACAAGAAGGCCACATATTCACTAAGATTAGGTCATAATAGACTTGATCTTTTTAGGGCACATGAGCCAAGGATGTTAATTGATAAGGACTTGTAAAGTGATTTTGGGCTTTGCTTTTGTTCTTTGTATTTGTTGTCGCACGCTTGGTGGGGGGTATGCATAGGTGCAAAGATGTATAGTAGTAGACAAATATAAGAAAACAAAGTGTTGGGCATTTTCTTTTTGAAGAAAGGACAGAGAAATGGAAGAGAAAACAAAATGTCATGATATTCATTGTTTTGTCTTTTACTTTTTCTATGCCTCTTATTGCGTGAGCAAGGCATGAGATGACGAAGGATCTTTTTTTCATTTTGTTACATTTTTAGGTCTCTTTCTCATTCGTCCTAAACGATATGCATGCATTTTCTTTTCGTCTATTATGAAGCGACAGGAAAAAATTTATATAAGGTTGAAACCTTATATTATAGAATTACAGTGCACCAAAAAAATCCATCCAAAAAAAAATCGCTTTGAAGTTAAAAAATCTTCCAACTGTTCATATCGATATTGAGATTTATGGATATGGACATTGTGGGTTCGCAACCCACCGCGATCAAGTTGTGTACCCTTTCTTTATGTTAAAAAAAAGAGATATATGCATATGGAAAAAAGAAAGATTTAATTGTAAAAAATGGTCCATCTGGCAACACATCATCTGGACCATCTACTTTTAAGATTTTCGTGCATTTATAGACTACTTGATTTGAATTAGGGGTGGTAATGGACCCGAATACTATTCATAGGACATATGATGGTATAAAAAAAGGTAAAAAAAATAAAATAATAAGCTCATAGTCATAGGGTGTTAATGGATCCGACTAGACCCGGGACCTAACAAATCCAGATATGGGTCCAAATTTTGGACCCAAATATCCGGGTCCGGGTTCGAGTTGTTGCCCCTCCCCTATTACTCAAGTTTAAAATTTTATAATTAGAGATAAAAGTAGGTTCTCGAGCCATCCTACATATTTTCGACACCAAAATTACATCTTAGGACTAGTTTGATGATTATGTAGGGTTACAACCCAGTTCAAACCGCAACCTTTTATCATCGTGTCACTGATATCTCTCAATCCTTAATTGTACTCTCTCTCTCTCTCTCTCTCTCTCTCTCTCTCTCTCTCTCTCTCTCTCTCTCTCTCTCTCTCTCTCTCTCTCTTCTTCTTCGTTACTTCGTTCGTTCTTACGTTACTTACGTT